TTTAAAATAGCTCAAAAAATCTCAAGCGAGTGGTGAACCAATAAGACAACGCGGCAGCCAAAGTCCTCAATCCTCCAACAAATTAACTGAGCACTCAACCAAATAATCAATCAGACAATGAATTATTCAATCGTAGGTCCAACAGGTTGTGAAAAATTTGCGATAAATCAATCGCGACATTGGCAATTAAAAGATTTACCTATCGATAAATGGAGAAAATTTATTCGGTTAGTAATCCCAGGCTTGGTCTTTACCGCGTAAGCACTGAGTGTTTGCACTTATTTGCACATAAAAATAGTATTTACGTTTTTGAGCGAAAGTGTGTCGAAACCACGTAAATTTTGAACTGGTACGCATGAAGGTAGTACATGCAGAATCCAGGAATCCGGGGAATGGCATCCAGAGTATGGATTCCAGACGCGCTGGAGTGGGCAAAGAGCGGCTATCTCTTCGACGGCTTCTTTGCCCTTGCCGTGGCGAGGTGGACGCTGTGTTGCGGATGCTCGAAGGGGCGGAGTACAGGCCATTGTATACGAATTCATCATGTAACGTGCACACACGTGTGCGTCCTAACGACCCGTAATATAGCCGCAAAATATCCCCTTTTGCATTTTTACGTTTTTGCGCATAAACGGGTAAACCCAAAGACGTAAACGTGAACACAAAGACCAAGCCTGAATAGGACAGTCAATCAAAACAACAATCAAATAGGCAGTCAATTTATCAGTAACTAAACGGCCAATATCAGACAATGCATCATCCAATAAAACTGCCCAGTAAATCGTTCATTCCTAAAGTCATCAAATCAACACACGTCACTGTTCAAGGCAAGGAGCTGTTCACCCGCTCCTCAATCTGCCCGAGAATAGGATTTTTTTATTTTTCCATTGAAAGATAGGAGTTGAAAAGAGAAATCCAAAGCAACCACTTGTTAGTGAGCTAGAAGTGTTTTGCAATGATTCTACAATCATCGTTATCAATTCTCCGCCCCCTTCTGCACACGCAATACAAAGGTCCACCTCGCCCTCTGAAAGGGCAACAACGCGGTCGAACAAGCGTTCCGTTTCTGCCAAGCCCGGCGCGTCTGGCGGCCACTCTGTGTATACTGCCTCTGTGCACACCGGACCTGCATTTGTGTATTTTACGCACGTTTTGGCGTAAAATCGTAAACGCCATTTTGCGTGTACAAGTAAGTACACCCGTTGTAAACAGCCCCTTGCTTCCTTTCCCCAAACTCCCTGTCCGGCAGACGCGAGATTCTCTATCGATGCAACGGTCAAAGTGCACGCCGCAGGTTCTTTCCGGTTTCTTTCGGGCAGCATGCTCGAGACGGGCATGTGCACTTTGACCTCTGTGTCCTGCGAAGCCACGCAGGATTGCACCGATCAGTGCGCCGCTGTCTGCTAAGCCGGCGGGGTACCAGACACGGGGGTGTGCACTTGCAGCACCTTCCTTCCAACCTGCACCCGAGTCGAAGGGGGATCCTCCTGCGCGTTTCATTGCAACTTTTATTGCACAACAAGCGCAGCTGACATCGCAGAGATCTGCAGCACTCCGTCGCCCTCTCCTGCCACCGACCCTCGCTCCAACCCCCGCTCCGGTCCACCCTCCATCTTCGAGCGACCAAGATCTTGACGAATGCGATGGCGACGACGAAGACGACGAAGACGACGAAGACGACGAAGACGACGAAGACGACGAAGACGACGAAGACGACGAAGACGACGAAGACGACGAAGACGACGAAAACGACGAAAACGACGGTGAGGATAGCGACCACGGTGGCGAAGGCGACGAAGGTGATTGATGCTGGGGGGTGGGATTGGCACCGAAATCCACACGTGTCGTCCAGGCTGCTCTTGGTGGTCAGGGCGGTAAGTTTCGGGGGCGCAAACGTTGTGACGCAGACTAGTCTTCGTTTCCATGGTGCGGAATGCAAGGCTGGTGCCTGGAGTGGGGTCGATTGATCAGTGCGGAAGTCTCCGCTCGCTTTTGCTCATTCTCCTTGCGGACTCGGTCTGTGCGAAATTGCAATAGTCCTTTCGGTTGACTTCTGCTCACGCGTCGCTTTGGAGGAAGTCTCTGGTATGGCCATTGTCAAGTGAGAAATAGAGGCCAGAAGCAGCGGCAGCGGTGACGCCCAATAAGCCGATCTGAAGGCCAAAAACGTGTGTCATTTGCAAATGACACCAATTGGTGACAGCAACGAACGGCACGTACAGTACGCTGTGTATTTCAAGTGTGGATCATGTCGAATTACATGTGAGATCCTGTACATCCACGTATGTTAAATGACCTTTGGGCATACGAAATGCGTCAAGTTTACGGCTTTTTCCGGAAAATGCCGAGGACCCTGGGCAGAAAGGCAAGATAGCCCTCCCTGACCTCTTTTCACCGAAGCATATCAAGTTATGGCACACTGATGTTTTGGTTTTGGGGGGCATACTACACAAATGCAATGTGTTTGGCCACAAGAAAATTGCCATTCTCTTAGAAATGGTATTTGCATCTGCAAAGAACGCATCTTCATTGGAATAAGGTGCCTTGGAGGCTGCATGCATACACCCTGGCCCGAATTGATGCACGTGCTACAGGCTGCTGATCGTTCGGAAACAGTATTTCTACAATGTGCACGGGGAGCCAATGTCGAACATCCAATCCATGGCCAATTTGGAGGCAGCGAAAGCCTTGGGGCAAATGCTGCGTAGCGCAATAGCCACTTGGACACACATTACGACAGCTGGGCGGGACGGAGAAGACCTAAGGTATCGAAGGAAAGTGTGGTTCCCTTCAACGGAGAAACTGCCTGTCGATATTTGTGAAAGCCATTAAGGGAAACCCGTGTGAAGCTATCTGTGGCTCCCCCTGGAAAGTGCATCCCAAGAGCACTAGTTGAAATCGCAGTTTCTTTTCCAGCTGTTTCAGAGTTTAGATCAGCCTAAATTGACCAATGGCTAGCAGCCGACGGGTTTGTTCCTCACGCGTATTTACGTGCATTAGAAAGCGTGTTTACGTATATGTACTCCTTAAAAAAGACTGGGGTTTCAGCGAAACATCGTGCAACACATTCTCGGTCTCCGTCTGGGCTCGAGGACTATTGCAGGCTGCAAGGGATCCGCTGCGATACGTGTCGATTGTCGTATCGGTATCCACTGTTGCACACAACAGCGCCAAACACATCGACAGATGTCGCGTTCCCTCCTTCGCCTCGGCTCGGCGCCCGCCGCGTTGCTGCCTCCAGCCGCCTTCGGTTTCCAACTCCGCTGCAGAGGCATCGGAAGCGGCGCGGCGGGCGGCTGATCAGCAGGCGTGGGATCAAGGACGGATATTAGACGACCAGCCATGAGGCTCATAGGTGGGCCATCTCCGGCTTTGCGAGTTTCTTTGTGGATGCCGCTACCTGCGCGGGGTAGATACAAGGACCTTGCGCCCAGAAAGAGACACCAGCAGTGAAAGGATTGTGGTCTTGGTTGGGATTCGCCAGGTCATGGCTTGTGCATGGACACAAGATTGTCCCTCATTTCCCAAGCGGGAATATTACTTTGAATGTCAACTGACATTTGCATGCAACACATCTGCCGATAGGATCAGAATACTCAGCGTACCAAGCGTTCAGGGTGCAGGAATGCCGACAAACATAGGCATGCATCAGGAAACGCGAGCCACTGGCGCTGATGTGTGCAAGTGCTCTGGCTGGCAGCTTGCTACGGTCGTTGGCAGTGTCAGGATGGATATTCCCGAGAATTTCAGTTGTTTCAGGACGATTTGAGGTCCACAGTCAATGGGAACGTGGAGGATTGGCACGTCCTGCTGTTGGGCATTTGTTGTTGCCGTTCACTGCTCTATTTTGCCAACTACACGTAGTCATGTTGCCAAACTTTGTGAGCTTTTGATCACAGAAGACGTACTGCAGGCAGCCCCACGTTGTGGAAACTTCAGTTGTGCATAAATTCTGAACCTCAACGGACCTACCAGCTGAGGTGGACAGCATTTGGTCCTTTTGGAGGACTCGCGTTGAGATTGTGGATCTGTTGAAGTTCCATAAGCACATGATGGATTCGTGGCGCTCTATGGCTTCATGTTCACTGCAATCTAATGATGGAAAGGGCGGCTGCCATTATTACGCTTGTCCAGGAGTAAAATTTAGCAGGTAAACACATGTGTCTGGGTGATCTGGACACTACCAATCCACTCCGCAGTCCCTGCTGTATAAGTCAGTATGACTAAAGAACATTCTGTCAGCTCTGTTTACTCGAATCTCACGTATTTTTGCAGGGTGCAGTGACCAATTTGGTAGTTTTGTAGAATTTGTTCAATCTCATTGGCGCAAATTTTAGCAAGCATTGCCCAAAGACCTTGAGGGTGCAGAATGCAATATGTCCAGCTTCGTTGTTTGATTTGGGCGCCACATGTGAGCCTGTTCTGTCCCAAATGCCCCAACTGCAGTTTAGTGGGCCACAAGATCCTCTGAGAATCCATTGTGTGTTTGATTGCCCCACCATGGTAGTGCAGGTCTCTGTTACCTTGTTGGCGATGTTGAGCGTGTGTGTGCCAACAGCATGTGTTTGCTCACCCCAATGGCACCCAATCACCAGTCCATGACGTCAAGGGCACACAGTAGCCAAGAAACTGTGAGAGACATGAGAGGAAGGTTCCATGTTTACAAGGGTGTTGGTGCTGCACAAGTTGCAATCCTGCCTTGAATACGCTCAAAGACGTCTGTAGGTGGATGAGCTTGCACAGCACGAGCTGCTCTTTTCTTGTGGTTCTTTTGTTTTCTTTCATTCCCAAGTGCTCCACCGCACAGGTACAATACTATGATGGCACCCCATGTAAGAGCTTCAGGTGCCCTGCTTCTGTTGCTGGGATGCCATGACCAGCAGCTCGCCCCCTTGTCATAGCAATGATATGGGCGTTGATTTGTCATGTTTTTGGTGAAATCAAAGGACTGAGAGCACATACTCTTGTTGGCAGACATAGCAGCAAACTTGACAGATGAAATGTACAAAGGCGAGTACCATGGCAAGCAAGTGCACCCCCCGGACTTGAACAGCGTGCTGGGCAGGGCATGGGAGGCAGGTGGGCATCTTCGCGACTTCTTCTGCTCCTTTGCAAGTTCAATTTTCTTCCCTGTTTGCCTTGGAGGATATTTATCAAAATATGAGATGGTGCTGCTCTTGTTGCCGCTGGGCAGTGGGTTGCTCACAATGACTGTCTTGGCAGCTGTCCCTGTGTCCTCTGGTGTTAATTCAAGTGTTTGCCACGTGTTTCTGAAAGTTGACAACACAGCCTAAGCAATTTCCAAGGGGAGAAATGCATTTTCTTTACTGTTTGTCTTTTGGTTTCCTCATTGCTACCTGCTTGATTCCTCAGCTAAAATACCAAAATGGAATGTCCCCTGCATTGTCATATGAACAAGATTGTGTGGAAGGTTTGCCCTTGTGTGCCCACTGCCCTCAAACGTGTGCGTGGCATTATGGTGCTCCACCACGGCTGCTCTGTTTCCTTTTAGAGAATAATTTCACTCAACTGGTGCTTTCGATATGTCTGTGCAACGAGCGCTTTGGAAATTGCATTCATAGTTGTCCATTCATAGCCTGCTTGCTTTGCATATTTGGCATTTTGTGGGCTAGTGTAAGTGGTGCTCTGGAAGGGAACACATAGGAAACAGTACTCGAGACAAAGTCTTGAATGTAATGTAAGGATTTTGAGCGGCAAGCTCATCTCTTCACAGGTGTTGAAAAGATTATCATCACAGCTGGAAACCTGTCGATGGCGCGTGAGGCTCTTGACCTCGCAAGGACGGATGGTACGTCATCATTCGCTGGCTAAGGTATCGTTCTCAGGCTCCCGGAGAACTTGCTTTGATTCCGTTTGGCACCCATGGCAGCATGTTGTCCTCGTGCATTTGAGGCGGTTGGAGACATTGCATGCACTACACTACACAGACCACACTACACACACTGCACTACATACACTACACAACATACGCTACACTGCATACACTACACTACAGTCAGTATTTACTGCTGGTTAGCTGGGTTCGTGGACTTGGCTCTGCTCACTGATTAAAATGCCAGGTATAGTCTCCCAGCTATGCTCCCAACTATTTCTGCTTCTCCGATGTCGCATGCATTTTATTTAAATGACCATTGCGGCATCTATGTTTATAGACAAATGTGTTGGAATGGTCGTGTCTGCATCGCATTTGCAAGTGTTGTTATGGGCCTTTCAGGGTGCTGGAAGAATATCCATGGTGCATGTAATCCCTGCGCTCCACCCTTGCGTTCTGTCGACTGGTGATTGCAGGCTGTCGTTCAGTCCCATTTTTGGTGCATCCCCAGCTCACCTGCGTCCCATATCCCTTATCATATGACATCAGCACAATGTGCTTGCAGCATACAGCACTATACACATAAATGCGAATAAGTTGCAACACAGTATTCATTTGAATCTCTAGCACAAGAGAGATCTAGAGCGTAACCCACGCATGTGTTATTGTCTGTGCTGATGAACACTTGTGTTGTTACAGTGAACATTTAAACTTATCAATTCAGCGTTGAGAGAATGCTGCGCAGAAAAGGACGACAACGTGCATGGGTACTGCTGGATTGCTCAGCATCAAATCACAATTCACCGCAGCAACTACAGCAAGGGGCGTCCAATTAATTAGTCAAATGAATACATTGTTCGGCATTGCGCGCAAGCCGCCTGGTTGAAGTGGTCATGGCTATTAGCATATCAACGTTGTGGCATGCCTGTCAGTACATGTACATATTTGTGTTGCAATGAACAGTGACCGGCGTTGGAAAATCTAAGCGCTGCCATATTTGGCCAAGTGTGCAAATGCACGTAGATCGCCTATTCTGCACGGTGGAGGTGCATCCCACGCGCTGTAGCGAATTCTTGTCCCATGCCCACGGCGCTGATGCCTACATGGATGCCCTCTTGGCCATCGCGCGGGAGGGGACGAAAGAGGGCAAAGTGGTGGCCATTGGAGAGTGCGGTCTGGGTGAGGTGGCTTGGCAAGCCGCGGCTTTGAGTAGCCTGCATTGAACGGAGTGCATAGTAGAGTACATTGTGGAGTACTGGAATGCATGCATCCAAGACGGGGAACGACAAGATGTTGGCAATCAGATTACGTGGCTTGGCTGAGATCCCAGGGCTTGAAACGGAGATTTGAAACTGGCTGGGTCAGCGAATGTCCGCCGCTCCCTTAATACGTCCTTGAGACTAGAAAATGCGAATATGAGCCAAATTTGTTCCGATTTAAGGCGGAAGTCATCAGTATTGGAGCTGCCTCCAGCCACCCCTGCGCAGGTCTTGCACAGCCGGCTGACGACGGCTGCCTGAATGCCACGTTCAGAAGATCAACCGGTTCGCACGGCTTGCATTGTGAGGCGGCAGTGTGGCCCCTTTATTCTTATTTCACATTCCTGGACATTGCCTAGCCAGAATCTGAGCTTATACCGTTGAGCAACAGTTTATCATAGCCACCCCCTGTCGGACCCAAACCTTTCCACACATCTGAATCAGTGCGCATGCCCCGCCTTTTACAATATTAATGCATTCGGACATAATCCAGCTTGCCCATGAGCAGCAACACGCACTGTGTTACCCGGTATGCCGACGGCGGATAGAGTTGCTACCGCATGCAAAATGCACAAAGCTGCAATACTCGAAAAAGATCATTGAAACTCGGCTTCCCCACCATAACCTTTTTGACAATATTGCGCTTGGGCGCCATGACGTCCGTCACAGATTAAGGCATTGATTAATATTTCTGGAGACTGTGGCGATGCTGTGCGGCATTCGCAATTAACCTTGTTGAATTTGTAAGGTTTTTCATTTTCGAACTGGGCGTTTGTCCTGGATGTAGCGCGAATGCTGTCAGACGAGAGGAAGGGCCCGGGACGAGGATCAAAATTAGCGAATGCTACAAATTGTGGAAGTCACCTTTCGCTTTTCTTGAATCCTCGCTGCAGCGAAAACTGCAGAACGGTGTGGCATACTATATGGAGGGGATATCCTTGGATACGGCCATATCCTGGATACGCATATCCAGGATATTCAACTTTTTTCCGACGTGTTCCTGGATCCACATCAGTGGAACAGTGTGCTCGGCTGCAGCAGGCCGAGAGAGCATCGCGCTGAACGTCGGCCCTCTGACAACAGCGCCGAAATCCGCAGATCCTGAAATTGAGACCAGCGGGGCGCCAAGAATCTTGCCGGGGGCGGTCATACAATGCGCGGAGCCATGCACAATACGATTTAATCACCACAAACGTACCGTACGTAAAGTGTATTATAGCATCCCCTTTTCTCTGCAGACACAAAATACCTGATGCGGACAAAACAACAACACTGCGCATATTTGCAGCATTGGCCAGTTACCAATTTTTTTGAGATTTTTGTTGTGCCGATTTCTTGAAAGCATTTGGGCGCCCGAGTCGTGGATTTGCACGCATTCTGTCCCTATATGCACAGCATGGTACCCTTGACTGCAGGCTTGGGAACTGTGGCACTTGGGGCCTGGTGGGCCAGCAGATGTACAGAGTAAGCAACAGCAGTGAGCGAGGGAAGGAAACGGTTTGAGCTGTAGTTTTTCAATCTGCAACATATTGCCATGTCTAGCTCCTGCCTGCAGTGTGGTCACGCAGGCTTCCTTTCTGTGACGCAATACGACAGGCGCCTTTGTAGAGGCGGCTTCAAAATCGGCGCAGTGGCCCCTGCCCATCTCTGCCAAGCCACAAAAACAGCTGCGGGCAAAAGGGAATGTCGTGTTCAAAGTTTTACATGACGACGCTCAACGGTCGTGTCGTGTTCGAACGAAGCGTCCAAGTGTGCCTTTCCGGTCGCAAGCACAAGCAATGGCCACGAATCGAACGCCGAGGAGAGTTGTCACTTTGCATGGCACGCCTTCTCCCCCGGAGCGTCCACCTGGCGTCAGAATTGCGCCCTCGCTCCACATGGGATGCACGACGCGGCATTGTGCACCCGGCCTTGCTCTTTGACTGCCAATCTCTCCCCGCACGTTGGCATGTGAAGCGGCCCCGGCTCTACCAGTTGCACTGAGCCTTCCACCTGATTCGCGCGTGGGAGGGAAGCTGCAGCCCCCCTCCCACGCGCACACACACGAAGATGGTTAATAACCACTCTCACGACACATCAATTATACCGACCGCGAGTGCGCGAAAGGGGGCTACCAACTAATGCCCACGGGCCTGCCGCGCCGCTGCATCCGCAGGCGTCGCCCCACGTGCTGCTTTCGCAAGACACACGTCTGTGATCCTTGGCCCCTGAGACGGCCTGGGGCATGTAGCTGCCCCGGGCCCGTGGGCAGACCCTGGATACTTCCCTTGCATCCACCGTCTCCCGTGCCCCACCCACGTGGGTGGACCGGGCCCTCGGCCTGTGGCCGAATATCCGTATCCAAAATGCATCGCCCCTCAGGGGGCTCCAGCCCCCATTTCGCACACGAATCCTGCCCTACGGCCGCTCCCCTCGGCCGAACACCCCTGCGGACAGCAAATCTACTTTTCTTCTTCTCGGAGGTGTGTCCCCATCCTAGTCCTACGGGCCCTACCTTACCGCCTCGTTCCTGCCCGACCAAGGGGAGGCCCCCTCTGCCCCACCCCCCTGGACACACCTCCTCAAGCTGGCTGACCCCGGCCTCATTTTTTCCTTGTCTTTTTTAATCCCCCCCTCGACCCCCTGCCTCTCGGCCTCCCAGCCCGTCCATCCAGGCGCGGGGGTACTCCAATATCTCTCTCACTTTTATGGGCCAGCCAGCTCTAAATCGCAAGCGACCCCAGCCGCATCGCGCACCTTGCAAGTAGCTGCCTCGATGGGCGGCCGGCCTCCCCCTCCCGAAGAAGAGCGTCGGTCTTTGGGGCTTGATGTGCGCCAGCTGCTCTGTGAGGCCGGCCGCCCGTCGAGGCTGTCGTCCGCCCCCCGCTGGAGACCTCAGCCGCCTCGTCAAGCGGTGATGTCATGTAGCACCTCCGGAGGCGTCCATTGTTTTGTCATGCGATTGGCTCAACCCTCTGGACGCGGCACACATCCGTTCTTGGAAGACGGGAGGCTAATTTCAGTTGATTTCCAAACCTTTTGGGTAGGTGAATCCCATTGTGCCGCACGGCGGATTGATGCTCATGGTCTGATGGTCGTAGACTTGCGAATCGCAACGATTCAACGAATCGGCTGCGGTGTTGGGCTCACCGCCGTTGATTCATTCCAACGGTTCTTGCACACACAGCCAGGCACATCAACTGCCAATATGTTCTTGTGTGTCCAGGCCCAAACATTCCCCAATGATATGGTGTCTGCAACCAGTAATGGGGAAGAAGCAAAGCAACACCCAGATACTCGTGGCCTGCTATTGACGACATAAAAGAAGTGGAAACAACGGGACAAGAAATTGAGAAACACAGAGAAAAAGCATCGGAATTCATCGTGGATTTGGGCCGATTTGTCTGTGACAGATGTGGTCTGTGACTTGTGCGTCCGAGATTCTTTTTGCCATGCTTTACCACTGAAGCTTTGGACCGCCGTGCTCATGTCCTGCTGCAGCTTTTATTGCAACGTGGGATCGCTGATAGGGCATCGTGCTCTGATGATAGAATGTCCCATCAGCGGACTGTATGTTTGTTTCTGTCTTGGACATTTTTTAGGAGACATGTCTTGAATGCGAATTGCTCTTGGTCCAATTCGACATCGGGCCTCGATTCGCGAATCGGTTGGAGTGTTCGGTGTCAGAATCTGGAACCCAAAAAATGGCCTGATGAGTCCCAAAGTCACTGGACGAAGTGTTGAGCCCGTGCAAATGCAGCAACCTGACTGAGGACTCAACGGATCTATGGACGTGGGTTCGCAAAATATTTAGCATGGGGTAGACAGAAAGCGACACTAACCAAGATTCGCGTTGCGGTGGCTGCTTGTTGGCGGGATTAGGGCGTCCATGAACTGGTTTCAGTCTAGTCACATTTGGAACGTTGGGCGGCAGTGCACTGGGAGCTTTGCCACAGGACGGACAGCATTTTTGTGAGTTTAAATTGGATGAACGACCGTTCTGCGGTCGTGTGACGATGCTCCGAGTCTCTGGCCGCAGTTTTGCAATTTGCTGGCTCATGCCCTGGATGATGCTCGGGGCGGGCCCAGTGGCTGGAAACATTTGTGGGTCGGCAACAGCTTGGATGCTTGAAGAAGACTCGCTTCTGTTGGGGGGTTCTCTCAGTTTGATGGTGTTAGGCCAATTGCTTCCTGACATTGTGGAACCAAGGACGTCGATGTGACTTTGAGCAGCGCGTCCAACCAGCTTGTCCTGGCTCGAATCTCTTTGTTTGAGCAGCGCGAGGCGCCCCAAGTTTTGTTGCGTGCTTGTGAGCGTTGGCGAGGAGAGGCGGTTGACTGCTCGTTTTCAGCAGCAGGGCCCTGATTGCGAGCCCAAGTCGGAATTGTTGGGCTCGGTGCAAATTTTGGAATTGTGGTTCGGCATTCTGTCTTTTCGACCACTGTTCATACCACCACCTGTGACCTGGACCGCGGCCCGCGTCCTCAAAAATCCCGATCCTTCATTATCATGAAAGTACGGTACGTCGGCGCAAGGGTGAACGGCGCATCTTCGATACCGGATGGAGCGCTCACACTGATGGGTTTTCGGATTGAACGCTGAGTGCTGCGCCCACATGCGTTTTCACAATCAGGAAGAGCCATGCCCGTTCCGTAGCGCCACGAAGTTACAAAACGATACTGATCACGCGAAAATTCTTTGAAAATGGGCATTTTATGGCGCGTCTTGCAGGATTTCTTGAATGCCATGCATTCCGGTGGAGACGTGGCAGGAAGCGTGGCGAAGCCGTGCCGCTGACCTACGAGCAGCTGCCGGCGGCGGCCGCCAGCATAGTTGCAGCAATTGATGAGGTAGGTGTTTGCTGGCCTGGCGAGAAGGGAGCGCCGGCGCTTCCCAAACGTGAGAGATATGGCTCTCTAATAGCAGATGCTTCTAAACGGCAACTTCGGTCACGCATATGGTTATGTTCGCACATCTTCATGGGCACGCAAATGGCGCTACAGCATAAAAAGGAATGGCTTGTGCAAGTGGGCGTCGTGAATGGCATGAAGACGCAGCTAGGTGTAGCAACCTGCTGGGAACACATGGTAGATGCAATCGAATGCAACTTATTCCAACTTTATGAACGTTATCGGGTTGAGAGGCAACTGTACATTGAGCCGCACGGTTCAAATTACCTATCCCAAGTAATTGAAATCGGTTTTAAAATACAACTTAACAGTAAACATTGAAACAAGCTGAGGTGCAAGACACTTGTTTTATTGATTTGAATTTCAAAATGTGAACAAACGGAAGTGAAAATTTTCTCTTTTGTCAATTCTCCTGAAAATTTTCCACATTCATATCATTTATGTTTAAATGAGCCTCCAATCGCTCTTGCATGCCCGCACATAGGCAAATTCACAAATGGAAGAACGTCTCATTTTGCACAGATGTGGAACATGCAGGGAGGCACTGGCAAATCCTGTCCAAGCCTGCAAGACGCAGTGGAAGTTCTGCGAGTATGGGAACAGGGCCGGCAATTCGCGCATGAGCCCGGAAGATCCAAATCTGAGTGTGGACGCGAATGCGAGGCTGATAATAAGAGTGCATGTACTGGAAATGGGCACGCAGAACTTAAGAAACAATTTGCGCCCAGGGGGGGGGAAATCCTCTTCAACGAGACCCAAACTTTGGGCACACTGCGCCACACGCACTGCGACTCTGAAAACGCGGTGCGCACGTTGTGTCAACACAAGCCACTCAATAGCGGCTCGAATGTGCGCAGCGCGTCGCGAGTGGGGCGCAGCGCACAAACTCTACCCGTGCCGCCCAAAATCCGCTGCGGCCACGCGCGCGCAGCCACGCATTGCATTTTCCGGTGCGCGCTACTCGACTTTCAAACCGTATCTGCCGCCCGTTTTGGTGGGCGGGGGTGCGCGTGCTTCGCCCCACCAAGTGTGGCGATTCCTTCGTGTGGCAGCAGAGCCGCGGCGGCGCTTCAGCGCCTCGTTCACAAGTCGCCTTCCCCAGCGCTGTCGATTGGCGTGCCTCTGTCCGCTTGAGGTGGTGGGGGGGCTGCGGCGTGGGCGAAATTGAACGGGCGGAGGCTTGGGTGGCTTGGGCGGGGTGGGCGGTGGGACCCTCTGCTGGGTCGGAGACTTGAAACTGGCTGGGTCAGCGAATGTCCGCCGCTCCCTTAATACGTCTTTGAGACTAGAAAATGCGAAAATGACCCAAATTTGTTCCGATTTAAGGTGGAAGTCATCAGTATTGGAGCTGCCTCCAGCCGCCCCTGCGCAGGTCTTGCACAGGCCGGCTGACGACGGCTGCCTGAATGCCACGTTCGGAAGATCGACCGGCTCGCACGGCTTGCATTGTGAGGCGGCAGTGTGGCCGCTTTATTCTTATTTCACATTCCTGGGCATTGCCTAGCCAGAATCTGAGCTTATACCGTTGAGCAACAGTTTATCATAGCCACCCCCTGTCGGACCCAAAACTTTCCACACATCTGAATCAGTGCGCATGCCCCGCCTTTTACAATATTAATGCATTCGGACATAATCCAGCTTGCCCATGAGCAGCAACACGCACGGTGTTACCCGGTATGGCGACGGCGGATAGAGTTGCTACCGCATGCAAAATGCGCAAAGCTGCAATACTTGAAAAAAAATCATTGAAATTCGGCTTCCCCACTATAACCTTTTTGACAATATTGCGCTTGGGCGTCATGATGTCCGTCACAGATTAAGGCATTGAATAATATTTCTGGAGACTGTGGCGATGCTGTGCGGCATTCGCAATTAACCTTGTTGAATTTGTAAGGTTTTTCATTTTCGAACTGGGCGTTTGTCCTGGATGTAGCGCGAATGCTGTCAGACGAGAGGAAGGGCCCGGGACGAGGATCAAAATTAGCGAATGCTACAAATTGTGGAAGTCACCTTTCGCTTTTCTTGAATCCTCGCTGCAGCGAAAACTGCAGAACGGTGTGGCATACTATATGGAGGGGGTATCCTGGGAAACGGTCATATCCTGGATATCCCGGATATTCAACTTTTTTCCGACGTGTTCCTGGATCCACATCAGTGGAACAGTGTGCTCGGCTGCAGCAGGCCGAGAGAGCATCGCGCTGAACGTCGGCCCTCTGACAACAGCGCCGAAATCCGCAGATCCTGAAATTGAGACCAGCGGGGCGCCAAGAATCTTGCCGGGGGCGGTCATACAATGCGCGGAGCCATGCACAATACGATTTAATCACCACAAACGTACCGTACGTAAAGTGTATTATGGCATCCCCTTTTCTCTGCAGACACAAAATACCTGATGCGGACAAAACAACAACACTGCTCATACTTGCAGCATCTGCCAGTTACCAAAATTTTTTTGAGATTTTTGTTGTGCCGATTTCTTGAAAGCATTCTATACAGGCACATTGAATATCTGCTGCTCACCAGCTTACATGCTACTTTGGGCGCTGTTTCCATTGAGCTTCTTAATGCAAGTATCCTTCTGCACAATGCATGCATTTGATCAACTACCCAGTTGACTCCTGGCCATGCAATTGACCTCCCCATCTCTTGGCCGGCCCGGCTATTTTAGTACTTAGCCCACTCCAAACCGGCTATCTATGAACACAATAATTATGCGGCATTATTATGCGCATTTATGGGCCCGTTGGACCTACAGCTAGACCGCCTTTTTCTTGTTTATTGGCTGTCGCCCTCGCTCGCCAACAAGCGCAGCACGCAAACTTACAGTTGTACTTAGGATTACAGGTGGCTTATGTTTGATGCGAGCATCTGAGCAATAGATGTTGCAGGTCTCCAGTCGCGTTTGCGTTCTGAATGCAGTTTAGTACATTTTGACGCAATTCGCACACGTATTCGAATACCTTGGAATTCCAAGGTTTCCAACGGGTGGCGTTTGGGCCTGTCTCCACATTGGAGCCAATGAAACGACCGAGGTAGACCTGCGGATCGTGATGCGCCATGTCAGTGTGCAGTGCACATGTGGCCCGCACAGGTCACGAGGCCGCCGGCCACACGCAAAAGGATTGGCGGAGTAATCACCAGTAGAAACCGGCATTCTTGCGATGCCAACTGCGATGCCATTTGACACTAATTGATGCCGTCGCACCCACTTTTGTGCCATCGCAATCGCTGAGATCGCATCACAATTGCCATCGCAAAGATGGCGTTTCCTGATAGTGAATAGCTATACACTATAGTGTAATCACCCCGTAATTTTATCCAACCCTTAGGGCGTGGACACCAAGCTTGTTGACATTCGCGTCAGAGACGTCTCTGACGTCTTCTCAGCGTCTCGGACGCTGCTCGAGTGCCCCCCTTTTCCCGTAGTGGACCGTGATCGCCAGCAAGGAGCCGGCTTTGTTCTCTTCAGAAAGCACCGCATCCCAAGTCAAGGACACGGCCCTTGGAGATGGCTTTGCCATCCGAAGGCAAGCGTATTACATCTGCGTAAAACACAAGCCTTACAAAAGTAGTGTATAGTATACAGATTGATGAACCAACTGTGTAATGCTCTCTGTATAGTACACAGATGTATGCACTGTGTACATTTATGCACAACACGAGCATTACACAGTTGGTTCATCAAATCTGTATTAACATAAGCGTCACACGAATGATGCATTGCATCAGTGTGTAACACAAGCGCCAACAAGTGGTGCATTACACATGTGCACAACCAAAGCATCACACAAGCGGTTTGTCATATCTGTGCTACCACACGAGTGTTACACAAATGCGTAACCCTCAACTAACTATGAATGCCTGGGCAGCCCCACGATCTCGGCGGAAGAGTTCCACAGCTCCAGCGCCAGCCGGGCGTCGCCCGCCTGCGGAGCCGCCGGTACCGCCCTCGTGCCGCCGCCCCACCGTCCCCCCGACATCCGCCTGATCGGATAATCCATTGCCGCGTGCAGCGCCAACACCAAGGCGTACACAGCGCCCCAGGCGGCGCCCTGCCATCCCTCCCCCCCGCCGCCCCAACGCGTCACCAGCGGCGAGGCGAACAGCCCCCGCGCGTAGAAACTGAAGCCATTACTCGCTGACCCACGCCGCGATCCCGACTGACCCACCGGACTCTGACCTTTCCTTAAAATTTGCAGCAACTCTCTTCTTTCCGACCGCGTGCCTGGGCCATGTTCGAGCGAATCCCTGCCAATGGTGGGCGGCCAGTCGCAGGTGGCCGCGTGCAGGACGGCCTGCGCGCCGTCGCTCGGAGGGGCGAACAGAAGATCGACCGCCCAAGACAGCGGGGGCCGAGCGTAGATCGATCCAGCGTAGATTCTTGTTCGCACACCGCCAGGGTCCACGGCGCAGCTGTGCACTCCAAGGGGCCCCTCCCGCCTGTGAAACTCGTTGGCGAAGAGGATGTTGGCGAGCTTTGTGTTGGCGTAGCAGGATGGGGACCAGGTGGAGAGGAAGGCGGCGGGGCGGGGCATGTGGGTCAGGCGGTGCATGACGGAGGAGACGTGGACGACGCGAGAGGGGGCGCAAGCGCGCAGGGAGGGGGCCAGGAGGCGGGTCAGTAGGTAGGGGCCCAGGTAGTTGACCTGTGGGAGCATAGCTTATACGTCACGTGATCATGAACTCAACGTCACCAAGGCAAGCCGTCAGCCTCCTGTTTTGAAACATCACACATCGAATCTAAAGTATCTCGAGGGCCGTCGTCATCAGCAAGAATTCTCAAATATCTTGGGTGTTGCCATCACCATCATTTTTTACAGAACAAGGCATATCACATGTGTCGTGTGTGGTATCGGTACACATATCTCAGGTGTTGTCACACTGTGGCGTTGCGTCATAGATCAATCAATGCAGAACCAGCCACCCGATCAATGCAGTTTTGCACAGCAGAGTTCAAGTAGAGGTATGTTATGGATATAGCGAGGAGCTGGCCGTCAGTTCCATATGTTGTCCGAGAAAATTGGTGTCCAATAACTGTTCATTGAAAGTCCAGGGTACTGCAAGATGTGTGAAATTCCGATGTCACATTGTGAATATCTTCATGATACGTTGCGCAGTGTAATGGTGGCGTAAGGAGGCGTGTCAGGAGGTAGGCGCCCATGTAGGGGACTTCATCGAAATCAGTGCTGCATTTTGTTCTACAGTGCTGAGATACATGCGTCGATGAGTCGAAATATCGATGCGCTCCCCCTGTGCACACCTGCAGATGGAGCTGCAATGCGCATATATGAGCATTGCAATCCAGATATGCAAGCACGCGTTTGAAGCTGCAAAAGGAGTGCGAGCTAGATTCAGTGCCACATGGTTGCCGTACTGGGTCTCAGCAAGTCTTGAATGCTACAAATCTGTGATCTGCAAGTATGCCTGATTGTTCGATCGCGTTTTCGAGTGTAAGGTAACGTCCACTTCATTTGACATTCAGGAGGACATGTAAAATCCACGGCGCAATTGGTTCGATAGCAAGATCGCGGGTGAGCCGCAGGCATCCCTGCTGATGAGACCTCGCTGTCCAACGCAGGAAGCAAGGTGCCCAGTTGGAGGGCACAATTGGCACAGTAAGCAGGAGTGCAGACAGACGCGCAAAAACTGTGGCATCCCTTATTCGGTGTTTAAATGGCTATTAACTGCGTTGAAATATCACTCAATTTCGGATGTAAGCGCTTTCGAAGATTCCACCTGAAATTCTCTGTAGACTTAGACATGTGGAGCATTGCATCTTGCTCACTTGGCCACATTTTTTCCATTTTGCCACTTCCTTATCATTCGCCACGTTCCCCTTGTCTGCCACCTTTCGCCAACTACAATCACTCAGTTCGTGCACACATTGGTTGTGCAGGTACATCTCTGGAACGCGATTCTCTGCAGTCAACTCTGATGTGGACGGCATTGCGTAAGAGTGCCCTTGTTCGGCCAGTTCTTTAGTAACAGGACGTGCAGGCGTACGCACCTGCACCATGCCTGCAACACCGTCCTCTGTGTGCCACTTTGGGACGAAGTTCACGGCCGCGTTGTTCACCAACAAATGCACAGGACGATCGCCAATCCCCTGCGCAACCAAAATTCGGTTGTCAAGATATCTCTTGACAACTGGAACTCTTGACAAGCTCGGTTTAGAAGGAGTTCAGGCCAGCTGGAGTGCCAAACTTCTGAGAACCAAAAGTAGAAGTGTTGTGCTGCGGCAAGTAGGCCACGGGGTGCAGACGCAAACTGGGCCACGTGGCTGACGTGTCATCATGGAATTCGATGGTTGAAATGATGATTGTAATGTTTCGACAGGGCTGAATTGGGCCATCGTGAGCCATGCATCTTTGAAGTTGGAAAGGCCTGTGTGTGCCGCCTTTGATGCATCGGGGACGAGAATTTCACATTTACGGGAGGACATGCTCTAGCACGATGAACATTTGCAGTTATTGCCATTAACTTACCCATAAACTTAACCATAAACTCAACTTTACCATAAACTTAACCATTAACTTAATGGTTAGCATGGTTTTGTGTGGCAGTACGCTGCTGGCTTAGATTTACACCATCAATATTTGCCCAAAGAAAGGCAAAACATATCAGAGCCAGAATGCATCCTGCTGCCTTCGACAAAGCACATTCCCAAGAACATGAAAACGTGCCGCATAAAAAGGACAAAAAACGTAAAAAGCAGAAACAACATAAAAAGGACAAAAGAAAAGGCCCATTCCCCTCGTGCCTCCCAACACGAATTGCCGCATTGCGCGCACCGCAGACCTGGAATATATCAGTCCCTCCGTCTTCCGTGAGGATCCTTTCTTCCGCTGACAAGGCGAACGTGGGTCTGTGGGGCAGTGGTTTGGGGTTCGGGGAGCCGAAACAAGATGGGATCTTCACGGAAAAGACAGTGCGACTAATTTCATGCCCGCGGACTGTGCATCCCGGTTCCCTCGTCCCACCCACCCACGGCCGCCCACCTTAACGAAGTTGCGCACACTGCCGTTGTCCGCCAGGTCCAGCGCGGGCCCGACCTCCACCGCGCCGCCGGGCGCCTCCCGCGCGATGTCCTCGGCGGCGCGGCCCGCCGCCCGGGTGTCGCGGCACGCGAGGATGACGCGCCATCCCCTGGCCACCAGTCCTTGCGCAACCTCCCTGGGAGTTGGCAAGGTCGGAATGAGCGTTTAAGGGACCTTTCCTGAGGCGCAAAATGATCGAAACAAACGCTCCGACGCTGCCAGACAGCGCGCGATCCTCCTGAGAGTTGGAAAGGCCGGAAAAGTGGGTTTTTGAGGGATCTTCTCTGCGGCGCTATGATCTCCGAACAACGTTCCGTTGGCCCCAGACAGTGCACGGCCTCCCTGGGGCCCGGGAGTCGGAGGGATCAGAGTTGGTTTTGAGAGACCGTCGCCGAGGTGCTCGCGGCAAGGCGCCCTGGACTGGAGCGCCGAACTGATGTAAAAATAGACAAAGAAACCCTTTAATGGAATGGACGCCCCCAGGTCGCGATCTCCCTGGGAGCTGTAAAGATAGGGGTTAGTTTTGAGGGATTGCTCGCCCGTGGCCCTCACTCCGGGGCGCCCCAACGCCCTCGCGGGCGCGCCCTGCCTCCCCTTTCCCTTCAGAAAAAACTGTTGGCCAGACTCCAAGCTAATGCACTGGGAAATGGTAGATGCCCTGCTTCAGAAGAAGACCCACAGAGATTGGGCCCCGGCCACAATTGCCCCGCACTGATGATCAGATCCTTCCCAAAGCCAGGCAATGCGGGGGCTGGTTTGGCCCTGGGAGAGGGGGGTGGGGGAATGTCTCAACAGCTCCGAAGTTGTGCACCCTGGTCTGCTGTTACTGATGCGCTCTGGCGGTTGGCGGTAGGTTCAGGTGCTTGCCTGCCGATTCCGGCGTTAGCTCCAGTCACGATGGCGGTCTTGGCTGGCGGGTCGCCCATGGGCAGCGACGGCTCCCACGGCTTTCAGTCTGGACTTGCGGGGTGCCCCTGGGCTGGTCGCTGTCGCTGGCCCTCATTGACACAGTTAATTCCTGCGTTGTGCTCGGTCCTAGTGCCGCGCGATTAGCACAAGTCGGCAGGCCTTCCTGGCACTCACACCGCACACGAGGCACCGTTGCCAGTAGTCCACCCAATGGGTGGACGCGTACTTAAGGGCTCGGACTACCCTCTTCCTACCCCCTGGTCCAGTGGTTTGGCAGCAGTGGGACATCCCACCAGAGGTACCCTGTTCGATCCCCAGTCAGACATCCTGGTCACCGTCCGCACTAAAACAGGCGCAAGCCTCGTGTCGGCCTGTTTGTCTACATCTGCCGCATTGCTATCTTTTTCCCGGCATCCAGCGACAAGACAGATTCGGTACTCACCCAATCAAGCACCCATCCTAAGAACAGTGCCAAATTCGGCGATCAAACATGAAATGCAAAGTTGCCATGCACTTCAACGCGCCATTCTTGACACCGCGACGTGTCTAAAAGGGTCCCCCCAGCAAGAGTGTGTTCTCTCGCAATCCTGCTGGCGGCAGGCCGCCGCATTGTGGGCCGCTGCCAGCTACTGGCGGACAGCGCGTGAGCATGTCTGAGCGTATTGTGCTCATATAGAATCTGCACGGTTTAGCGTTCCTTGTGACACTAGCACAAAAGGGACCAAATAACACTTTCTGCAAGCACATATGCAACGCATTCCATCAGTTTTCTGCACGCTAAGAACACGAAAGCAACCCAAACCCGTAAACTTTGCACACGTGTCATTTGGGGTCTCCTTCCTCGTGTGTGGGACAGTTAAGTTGCAGGTCGGTGAGGTGAGTGGAGGCGCACCTTCGATTCGAAAGCCGCCGCGGCAGCGGCGTCGGCAGAAACTGGCTGTCAGACTCCTGACCACTGCTGCAAGGGAGGTGGCCCAGCCTGGCCAAGGCACGTGTGAGACGAGCGATGGAAAGGGGTTTGCGAGGGACAAGGCAGGGCGGTTGTCAATGGACGTCCAGCCATGTGCAACAACGCCGTTTGGAAAGTTTCACACGCAGTAGCGGATCTCATGAGCTCCGTTCTGATCATTATCGATCTGTTCTGATCAGGGCAGAGTACACCACAGCGAGCGCAACGGCAACGTTGCGTGCTTTGGCGTGTACTTGGTAGAGCTGCGTTTGGGATTGGGTATTCACACCCTCTTGAATCCCTCCGGGTGACACATCGAGCTAGTGCAAGTCCATGAGGCTACCGGCTTAGAGTTTGCCCAGCCACTTCCTCGTCAATCGCTTTTCAACGAAATAAGCAGAATCAAACCCCACAGCACTTCATATAGGCAGGCTTGTTACATACGTGCACTTATGTGCCCATTACACGTATTTGTGGCTTTTTCATATCTGCGCATATTTATGCGTGCTCATGCGCCATGTGGCCCAGAAGTTAGGGCCAGCTTTACGCTGACTCTTACGTTTCCTAATTGATTTTCGGTCCCGCTCACTATGACGCAGTTTGGGCCAGCCGCCAGGCGTTGTTTGAACGCCAAAGCCATTCAGGCCACCTGCTGCTGCTGGTGCGACCTACTGGTGCAAAACAGCGCCGATGCCGTGCTGGCATAAGCGACCTGACATGACAATATGCAGTGATGGGGTCCCCCCTTGTCAGCGATGAGCATGCGCTTGAAGAGACATGACCCAAGGAACGGGCCGTGGTGGGCAGCTTGTGATTTTGACCATAGACATTGAACAAATGTATGAGTGTGCTACATGAATGTCACGACTTAACCATTGAATAATCATAAAAGGTGTGTGCTCATGCAGGCGGCTGTCAGTGGCAGCAATTTGATTCCAGCGGCCAGCACGTCGCAGACCTGGTCCCGCGCACCTTGTCGGGTTCAATTGTGGATGCGATGAAAGTCGAGGGGAAGAAGGATGTCGACCAGGCATGGGGCTCCCCGTTGCATGGCTGAAGCGTACCGTGGAACTTTTCTGCGAGCTTTCTAAGCAAATCTGGCTGCACGTAGTATGCGCGCGTTGATCAAACGTGTTTATGCATTTTGGGGGCGATTTTATGAACTTCTGTACAAAAGCGCATGAATGCGCATGTATGACGTTGTCATTTGCTAGCGCAGTAGACGTTCTTAATGAGCAGTCGACACGCGCTGGGCTCCAGTGTAAAGCAGTGCTCTTGAATCGTGTCGCTGTCGATAGTTCGGTGGCAGGGCGAAAGATCAGACCTTCCAATCCCCATCTAAGCATCTCCCAAAGCAGGTATCATGATTGATCATCGACACGAGCTTGCAACTGATGAGTCAGGGCACCGATCCCAGTGTCGACTGAACACAAAGCTCAACAGAAGAAATTAAGCATCGCATCTTACTTTCTCCACGAACAGGAATACTCCAATTTTCAAATTTTCGTCTCTCGCATCTACTATCATGCTTAATGAAGCCAGAAAAGCTCACCTCCAAACATGCAGTCACATCGATCAATATTCGCAATCAGTACAAACGCCCCGGCAGTAGCCTTGTGTGCGCGAGCACCTCATTCCGCAATTCCCCTTGTCCAGAATCTCAGAGTCAGCCATTCGACAGGGCGCCCAGAACCTTCCAGGCAGCTTCCCAGACCTGGTGGGTTCGCTCGCTCCTCTCTTGCCTGAGATCCCATGGCGGGCTCCAAAACCTGAAGAAACACAGAAAAAACGCCGTGTCAGCGTTCGCCGAGCACCAAAACAGAAGTGCTGCATTGTTGGTCAATAAGGTGCCACCGAGTTGCGCTTGGTTTTCGCCGCCAGCGAAATATAAAACCAGCACAAAGGCGCCCATGAACGACGGCGAACCATGAAGGATTGCCAAAGCGACAAACCTTCCCCCCAACACCACACAACGCCCAAGATTGGGCTCGCCATCGAGTCCGCAAGTAGCCCAGTCCTTGAACGTCAACAAAAATTGTCCACTCATCTCCGAGGACTTGTTCCACCGACGCTCAAGAGGGAGCACACGCCTCTAGCTTCGCCGCCCTCTCTGCCACATTTCCGCCCAAACACACTTGCGAATTCACAAGTACAGAATCGGGCAAAATATGCGGTTTTGAAACGCGTAAAACTGTGCCAAGACGTGCAAAATTCGTGTGCACTCACTCAGTTGCTACTATACAGTTTGGTTCCATTTGTATACAATAAATACACGATTTGCCACGAATTTCTCACCATTTTTAATCGTGCCACACGGTGCACGATTTCAAAATATTGTGCTTTGACATTTTCTTAATGGTCCCAGAGCGCCACTGCCTCACCTACCTCCCCTCCCTTCCCACGGGCCCCAAGAGCATTGCCCAAAACGCCTCCCCCGGCTCAGTTCCCCTCCTCCAGCAACCTGTCGATGTCCTGCTCCGTGAGCGTCTTGAACGTCGTGCTGCGCACGGGCCCAGGCCTCCTCCCAGATTCAGGGTTTGGCGTGCCTGCATTCGCCTGTTCGGCGGCCTTCTGCGGGAACCAGTTCCATGAGCCAACTTCCTGCTCGATGGCGTCCAGGCCGCCTTGGGCGTCGTCGAGCTGGCGGAGGGGCGCCGCCTCTTGTGGCAGGCCGGAGGTGGCGGACAGCTGCTGTGCATGGACGCTTGGGTTTAGCACGGGAGTTTGCTGGTGGGGAGCGTGAATTCACGTGCATCCAGCCACTGCGCGCTAAGATTTTGGACAGTATAAAACAGAGCGGGGTTTGTGAATCTCATGGAAAGGAGCGGTGCAAAGCGCTGAGTAAGCTCTTCGCCTTGGCCTGCAGGGATACTTAATTGGGACAGCCTCAGTGATGTTCAGAATTTGCCACTTTCTCTGTCTCAAATATGTTGGTGCTTATTCTGGCTTTTTCACTATTGTTTTCGCAGCCGCATCCGTGTTTCTCAATTCACCCAATGAGTTAAGGCCATATTTCGGGACACAGTGCAGCAGTTGGCACCCCACAGATCGACTTTGTACCTGCTTTGCTCGAAACTACTTCGAAGTACTTTATTTGTAGGGCTGCGTTCGCGGCAGCTTGGAGTATCTGTGCCAACTTGTGGAATACGAAACTTCCGAATTGTAGTAGAGGGGCGTTAAGGGTGCAGGAGTCGGATAGCTCCAAGAGACAACAGCAACATCATGGATCCAACTGGGTTCAATTGCACAGTAAGTAGGATACATAGAGGAACATCGAGGGATCTAGGAAACGTGTGCGTGTGATGTTCGGCATCTCATGTACTTCATGCCATTGAACCATGGGCACGGATATCAGATGACCAATGGTTTGCATGTTCCAGTGCCGATCCCCATATCACGGCTGATTTTGGGGGTTTTGGAGAAATGACGCATCTCTCTCAGTGACAGGACTGCCATTAGGCCGCTTCACTAGCAAAGCGCTTGTCGCAGTGCTCGCTGACGAACTGCGCTTTGCTTCATCGGTGTTGCTGTCGCTGTTTTCAACATTCTGCTGTCATCGTTATTGTTGCCCATTTTATTACCACTGATTCGGGATGAAAATCCAAAAGCCACAAATAGCACCATCTGGACCAAGTTTTTTTATCGCGTTTGTTGCTCGGTTCTCTGCTTGCAGCCATCTTGCAGGAAGAATGTCAAATATCAAGAGTAAATGCATGAATATTGCAATTGATATATATATATATATACAATGTTTTGGATATTTTATGAGTGCTAATTGCTCAACACCGACCTTGTCTGCAGGTTCCTTGGCCAGAAGACTAGCGCTGCTGCCCTCTCGCATCCGGATCGAACCACCTAACGGGAACAAGGTCCGTTAGAGCCTAGAACGCCATCCAACCAGTGGCCTTTCTTTAGGCATCAACTGGCTCAGCATTACATTGCGTGTTTCACAATCAGATCGTATTTGCCCGGCAGCAGGAGGTGCGCGAATGGAGTGGGCAACTTCGTGGGGCTTCTGTCACTTGCTGGGGGAAATACTGAGTCCCAAACGCACTTCCGCTCTGAGCA